TTGCTGATTTATGTTTAAGATCTACATAAAACCTCAGGCTAGCATTATGGGAAATATTCAGATGCGTCAAGTTATAACTACAAGTCAGTAGTAAATACTACTACTACTACTACTATTACTACCACTACCACTACCACTAGTAGTAATAGTAGTAGTAATAGTAGCAGCAGCAGTTGGTTCGTTGGTTTGTTGTTTAATGCTGCACTCTCAAGCAATTGCAATTTCCAAGCTATAGGCGACGGTCTGTAAATAATTCAGTCTAGACCAGGCAATCCAGTGATCAACAACATGAGCATCGGGACGCAACTGGGATACGATGATATGTGTCAACCAAGTGAACAAGCCTTACCACCCGATCCCGTTAGTCGCCTCTTACGACAAACCAACAATTGTCACTGTATGGATAACTACAGGTAAACCATCTTGTGTGACAACTATACAATCTTTATGCCTGATAACAATCTTTCAGTATGATAACTACAGAAAATCATATCACGTTCTGAATGGAATAGTCATTTCGAAATCCACCAATAATCACACAGCTTGGTTCCCACATAACACCACCTTATTAATGGTATACAATGAAAATAGGGCAGTAGGGCCGTGTTTGAACGTTAGAGCATTGCCGACACCTTGACGGAAGATCATCATGCTATGGATCGGGTCCCTCCAATATCATTCATGTCATGGTAATATCACATCACTTATGGCGTTATCATTAGACGTCAGATTAGCAGCTCTTTCATGTGTTTGTCACTCCAGTTTGGTGCTATTTCCATCAATGACAGAGGGACAATGTCTGGTTTTACTGCGGTTGCCTAAAGGAGTGGTCTCCTGAATATAAAACCAACAGTTCCTGTCTGTCCCATTTGTTTATATTTTAGAAATAAAAGCTCTGGTGATCTGTGAAAGGTAACTATGAGTAAATGAATAATTTTGGGCAATGAGTATACACTTGGAACAATATAGGATATTTGTATTTATCTATTATCAAAAGTGAGGAACATTATCATAGTATTGGGACGAAAATCCATCGGTTTCTCGCAAACAGGAACCAACTCATAATAACTAGTCTCGGCCATATCTTTACCACAATGACGATACACAACAGTCTAAGTTCATTTTTAAATATTTAAGTAGCTTACCTCATAGGTCGATAAGCATCAGTAATTACACAATATAAGCTTCGCGTTTCAGAAAAAAAAAACATATATGTCACATTATAGATATACACTGTACACCTATTTATATTGCAGATTTGGCAAGTTCCTTCTCATACGTCACTGATGGATGTCGACATGGAAACGGTGGACTGAGATGTCAGTCATGTCACATCGGTTGTTATGGAACAAACTGCAAAATCCCATGTGATGACAACTGTCACACAGATGGGTGTAACAGAATCACTGGGGAATGTTTTACATGCAAGTCAGGATATTATGGACGAGACTGCAATGTGCCCTGTCCGAGAAGACGTACAGAGGACGGAGGGTTGACTGGTGTACACTGCAAGGATCAAGTCTGCAATAAAGAAACCGGTCGATGTATCCATGGTCGTGAGGAAACTTGGACAGGAGAGTACTGCAACAGAACATGTGATACCTGCCTTAACACAAGATGCAGCTGGACCGGATAGTGTCTCAATGGTTTCAAACTCGGTTTCTATGGAAACATGTGCGACAAAACTTGCCCTCGATGTTGGACCAGTGGCTGTGACAGAGGAACGGGTATATGTGAACAGTGCCGTCCAGGTAATCGAGGAAGACAATAACCAGAACTGTTCTGAAACGTGCTACAGAGGCAGGGATGGACACAGGCACTGTGGTCGTTATAACGATAACTGCCTGGAAGGTTGTGAAGTAGGATGGCACGGTCATCGTTGTGCCACTCGGTGCAACACATCCTGCAACTCGTCTCGTTGTTACAGCCATGATGGTGCCTGTGTAGATGGCTGTCTGGTTGGCATGGCAAACACTGTTTGCAGCATAACGTGCAAGGAATCATTGTGTGCCAGCCAAGATGGTTTGTGTTCCCACGGCTGTGTAAGGGGTTACCATGGAAAGCAAGGCCACAGGAAATGTATCAATTGTAAAGATAATAAATGTGACCAGCATGAGAGATGGAGATATTGTCCGGACGGATGGAGGGGAGTGAACTGCGAAGTTCCATGTCCCATCGGCTGCCACACATGTGATGAAGATGGCTTGTGTTCGTCTAATAGTGGGGCCAAGAGAGTGTCGGATCCAAACGACGACTCACACGCATATCGTCACACCGACACAGTCTCAAGCGGCTCACACACGTACACCTATACTTTGTGTTCCTTCTTCTATATATGCACTCAAGTCGAGTGTTATTAAAAGATGTAATAGAACCTTCAGCTAACTAGCTGCTATAATTGGTTGATAATTCATTAAAGGTCACATGCAACGTAAAACACAACTTTGCAGATTCTGATACCTTTCGGTATGGACTTACCGAAACAAATCGCCAAAAATGCAAATTCAACTTATAAAGTTAAAAAATAACGTCATGAAAAAAAACGCGCGAAATCGGAGTTCAAACTTTTCACTAATTTTCCCGAGACTTTTCTGGGGAAAACGGGTTTCAACAGCTGGGCTGCGCTCATAGCACGTGCGCAGTGAAATAGGTTCGCGCAACTTGGAAGCGGGTTGTCGGGTGAATACTCGGTGAAGGCTTTGGTGTGAGCTATTTTTCTAATGTTTTGTTGATATCTCACAGGCGCGAGCTTTTTTATATGTTATGACAGTAAATTAACTGTTTATATAATTTCATTTGTCTATTCTACAACACGTTCTTTTTTCTTACCGAGTCACTTTCTCAGTTCGATACTTAAAAGCAATGTCATTATTTAGCGTTGACAGAATTTCTAACTGTGATATAGATATGTCGTTGTCACAGACAAAACTCAATGTCTTGTTTTATTGACACCTGTGTGTCTGCCTGCCTGTCTGACAATATTCAATACACAACTGCTATCACTGACCACATGCAATTTGAACTTTAACACCAATCAAGCTATACACCATAAAACAAAATGCATTGATTTATGGCCCGAGTTCGGTCTCTGTCACATTATGTAATTACACAGACAGGCAGGTGGTGATACTTGAACACATGACATGTTATGATGTCTGTTGATTGCAAAATGTTATACACAAAAAATGAGCATGTATTTACAAAACCCAACATCTCTATATATACACACAGAAGGAGCCGTGAAGGCATCTGCAAATGAACCAGCCGTTACACTTGAGTGCACACCCACCCGCTCTGACTGGGTTCCGTATCCCGGCTGCTTCGTTTCTTGGGAAGTAAACCGAAGTACACAATTTTGCCCTTTTGATTTGCGATTGTACACTTATAATTTTGTTTATATGTTTTTTCATTACCAGCAATGTATATTATATGTCATGAATAAGTGATAATTGTGTTCTAATTATGTTTGATTTTGTGGTTGCATGTGACCTTTAAGTGTGCAGGTTAAGCGAGTTCTTTCCTGAAGCAGTTTGAGAGTTAATCCTTTGGACTTGTTTCACAGCTGATGTTTTGACGAATGATTGGCAGAACATAAATGGATCTAGGCAACTGGTTGCTCTTTACAAACTGACGGTTTTACAATGGCATGACTCAAACTGATCAATACATTAACCAAAAGATTTTCCCTCAATAATATTTTCTTGTGACATGTAAACAAACATCTTGAAGACACAACGAATATCCGTATAACAGTTTGCTACCAAATACCTCGTATGTATCTAGTCAGTGTATGAATGGTATTTTTTTTGCAATTAGATGTACATGTACATATGAATGAGTAATGACCACTGCAATAAAATCTTTCTCGTCCCTCGCTCAATATTTGATTTTATGTATACCACTACTGTAAGTGTATATGTGTGTGTTGGGGGCTGGGGTGACGGTGGAGGATGGGGAGGGCAAGCCTAATGGAAGCCGTAACGCTGAAGACTCGGGTTTGATTCCCCACATAGGTACAATGTTTGAATCCCATTTCTGGTGTCCGCCGCCGTGATATTGCTGGAATATTTCTAAAAACGGAAACCTACTCTCACACACTCGCAATAACGCCCAAATCTCCTCTGACGAGTGTTGAGGTTATAACGAATGTACGCCGCACCCAACAAAACATAACATACATGTCTGTCACCCAGTTTAACAAGGTGTTACATATTGAAGTGTGACCTACACTGTTATCTGGTATATTGGTTTGTTTAGGAAGCAAGTAACTGTACTTTTCTCTCAGCGCTTACGATTTCAGTAAATTGGAAATCCACTAACTCATCTATTTAATGGCATTTTCTCAAAATGAAAGGACGTCCCATCTACAATTTTCCGAGAAAAATGTGTGTTATGCTAAAACGATTTTGCTAGCATCTATGTAAAATATAGGGAAGGACATTTGGGCAAGAAGCAGACATCTCCATTCTAACCGATTGAGCTGAGGCTGTCAAAATCAAATTAAACAAATTTAGTATTATAAGTGTTTGATTTACAGAATGATATTAATATCAGCGTAAATATGACTTTATAGTGACAGATCGTGGTTTTTAAAGCATGGGATCTGGTGGTCAGGCTTGCTGATATGGTTGACGCCTGTCATCGTATCCTAATTGCGTTAATCGATGCTCATGCTGTTGATCAGTGGATTGTCTGGTCCAGACTCGATTATTTACAGATCTTCGCCACATACAGCTGGAACATTGCTGAGTGCGGCGTAAAACTTACCTCACTCACTCCACTTAGATTGACTTTTTCAAGACCCTTATTTTCGTCTTTGTATATAATAAATAGAGACAGCACGGGGGGATTTGTACATGCATACCTACAAAGTAGGTTTATGTTTCATTATATGTTATGGATCGAGAATATTTTCGAAAGTTCAACGACAATAGCTGGAATAATGCTGAGTGCGGCGTGAAACAACCTTCCAATCCAAACAATCAACGACAATAATCATGACTTTAATTCTTTATTCTGATAATATGTAGACATTCGGACAAATACAGTTAGCAAAGCGGACAAATACGTATCTAAATGTATCGGTACAAACGTTGAAAGCAATATACAAGTTAACCATCTGAATATGACGCATGAGGACTAGTCACGTCCCTTATTCCTTATTCCAGTTGACATTCTGATGTCAACACTAGATTTGAGCGCTTACATTGGATTAGGCGATTGAGTCTGGCTTTACGGCGATTTTAGCAGTTCTCCAGCAACATCACGACGTGGAACGCCAGAAATGGGTTTCACACACTGTACACAAGATCTCAGGTTTTCAGTGTCGAGGGGACACTTAAAAGGAGGTTACCCCTCCTGGATAAATCGAAGGTAATAGAAACTACAATTGAAGATGTGTGAGGGGCTTGAACCTGATGATGTGATATGACGCTCAGCATGGGGGATCTGCTTGATGCAACACTGTCCTATTCAAACTGTTAGAAGAAAACACGCCATCATTATCCAATAAGTGTACATTGCTAGACGAAAGGGACATGAAACATGTGTAGGTGTGTGAGACGCTTGAAGCTGATGATGTGATGTGAGGATCGGTATGGATCGGGATCTCTTGTTTAAGCCGTTAGACAAACACACCCCATCACTATCCGATTTGTGTGCATGGGTAGAAAAAGAGAACACAAAGTATATAGGTCATGTGTCTGTGTGACCATCAGGAGTCGTGAGCTGGATCCGACACTTTCTTGGTCACACTGGTCATACAGACGCCATTACGGAGGGTTGTTATATAAATAGGGAGAGAGAGAGAGAGAGAAAGAGAGAGAGGGGAGAGTGTGTGCCATTACGGAGAGCACTCTCTCTCTCTGTCTCAACACACACATATATATATATATATATATATAGTGTGTGTGTGTGTGTGTATGCTAACATTACATCAATGCAGAGGCTATTGAAAGAAAGATGATAATACTTCTTTACATTTGCTGCCGCCCCGGAGTTTCCTCGGGGTAGTATTTACATACATAATGCACATATACTGTAGGGACTGTAGGTTACAGGAACTGATTTGACTCGAGACCATGTTAATGAAGGTCGTCAATGTTGTAAGGTCCATGCATTTTACAATATATACAATGCCACCAAGTAGTGTCACAATCTCTAGTTCATTTTCTGCACAGTGTTCCAGAAATAAATATTGATGGAGTGTCAGATCATCAAATAGTTTCTCATACAGTGTATTTCTCGCATGCTGTAACTTATGACAGTCAAGCAGCTGATAATTCACAATGTCATTACTCTCATCGAAACAGAGCAGACACAAACCGTTGTTATCGGTAAAATGCCTAGCTTGACAACAGCATATATCGACCTCTTGATTATGTTAAATCAGTTACACAAGTTCCACAGCCTATGGGGTACTCGTTTTCCATGAATGACATTAAACCGTGATAAGTCTGGTCTAAGCAGCAAACTGTTAGACCACCTCGATGTCTCCAATTTCCACACTGACTTTAGTACTAGTTGTCTCGATGTTGTTTTCTTGGGGAACTGTCCATCATTTACATAAGCTTGTATATAGTGGAAGAGGTCATACTTCTTCATTGTGTTCAAAAGGTCGCACGTAAAATACTTTTTTTCTACGAATGTGCTGATGGGGTCCTGCATAATCGTCCAAGATACAGTAACTTAGCCTTGTCAATAGAAGCTTGCATGCTCCATAGACCGAGCGTCTGCGTCGATGCTGCAGTTGGAGATCTGATTTGAAAGTTCTGAATACTTCATGCAAAGTATCGTTGTAGTTTTTCCAGTTCATATATTTCCGATTGCATTAGGTTACTCCATATTTCACAGCTATACAGTATGCTGGGGATGATCACTCGTCACCATATCACAACACGACGGGATCAAGGACTCCAGCTTTTAAGCCAATATTTCTAAGAGAACCTCAGGTTCTCCTTCCTTTTAAACATACGTTCTTGGTAGACGAAATGGACGTGTGTTGTTGTGTGAGTCTCTTGAGGCTGTTGATGTGATATGAGGATCGGCATGGCAATCATCTGCTGCATCCAACATTGTCTTGTTTAAGCCGTCAGACAAACACACTCCATCATTATCCGATTTGCATGGCTAGAAGAAGGGAACACAAAGTGTTTGTGTACGTGAGTGAGTCACCTGATCCTGATGATGTGTCGGTGTGACCATCAGGACGTGAGTCGTGGGTTGGTTCCGACAATCTCTTGGTCAAACTCTTAGACACACAGATGCCATCTTCATCACATGTGTGGCAGCCGCTGGGACATCGGAGTCCGCACTTCTCTCCTCTCCATCCGTCTTGACAATAACTGCATCTCCCATACTGGTCACATTCATCATTTTTACAATTAATACATTTCTTGTGACAGTGATTTCCATGGTAACCCCTTACACAGCCGTGGGTACACGAACCATCTTGACTGGCACACAGTGATTCCTTGCACGTTGTACTGCACGGTGTCAGACAGTGTTTGCCATGCCAACCATGCTTACAACCATCTACACAGGCACCATCATGGCTGTAACAACGAGACGAGTTGCAGGAGGTGCTGCACCGAGTGGAACAACGATGACCGTGCCATCCTACTTTACAACCCTCCAGACAATTCCCGTTGTAACGATCGCAGTGCCTGTGTCCATCCTTGCCTCTGTAGCACGTTTCAGAACAGTAGTGGCTACAGTGTCTTCCTCGATAACCCGGACTACACTGTTCACACATGCCTGTTCCTCTGTCACAGCCAGTGGTCCAACATCGAGGGCACGTTTTGTCACACATGTCTCCATAGAAACCCGGTTTGCAGCCATGGAGACAATATCCGGTCCAGCTGCATCTTCTGTTGAGGCAGGTATCACATGTTCTGTTGCAGTACACTCCTGTCCAAGTTTCTTCACAGCCAAAGATACATCGACCAGTTTCTTTGTTACAGACTTGATCCTTGCAGTGTACACCAGTCAATCCTCCGTCACAGATTTCCGAACAAGCACCTGTGTGGCGGTCACATATAGCAGAGATCGTTGTGATGATCGGGCATCTTCTCGGACAGGACACATTGCAATCTCGTCCATAATGTCCTGGCTTGCATGTAAAACATTCCCCAGTGATTCTGTTACACCCGTCTGTGTGACAGTTGTCATTACATGGGATGGTGCAGTTTGCTCCATAGCAACCAACGTAGCATGACTGACATCTTAGTCCACCGTTTCCATGTCGACATCCATCAGTGAAGCACGATGAGGAACTGGCCCCAACTGAAATGAATCATATTACACGTGTTTTATTATCCATCACCAAAAGTAAAGGGAGTTTATAACTGCACGTAGATTTTGATCATCAATTATCATATAATACCTAGTGTCAACAGCTGCTATGTTAGAGGAGAGGTGGTGTTGGAGTGAGTGCATCTGTGTATGATTTATGAATGCGTTCTTTTTGGAGTCCTGGGGTTTTCTCAATCAAAATCTTGTCTCTTTCAAACTGTAATAGACTGATCCCGTGTGTCATCTGAAACTGGCGTATGCCTCACTTTGAGCCACTCAAAATACCGGGTATGTTTTGCGGATTTGTCAGTGACACATGGGTTTGTACGGAAGCGTCCTAGTGCCACAGTCAGAATATTTTTATCTCCTAATTAGGACTTAGCTATCTCCTAATTAGGTGATACTATCTCCTAATTAGGAGTTATAGTTAGTTAGTTTAGTTATTCTAAAAATACTGAAAACAAAAGTATGTGGGTTGTCAGACTCTATCAGGCATGGGTAGACGAGAGGAAAGCAAGAGAAGGTCCCAGTGGTTTTTACTTAAATTCAAACATTTTGGAATTAGCAGTGAATGAAGGTGAATTGAACAAAACATTAATGTATTTTTTGACGGAGGTCAGGAATCGGAAGGGTCAAGGATATCGGGGCAATACACTGTATGAGGTTATTGCCTCACTTCAATACTTTATTCGTCGGAATGGAATTCAAATAAACTTTTACGAATCTCCCTTATTCTCCGGACTTAGAACTGTTTTGGATGCCAAAATGAAATCTCTAGCGCGACAGGGAATTGGGATTGATAAGAGACAGACTGCTGTGATAAGTGTTGAACAGGAGGATGTGTTGTGGAAAAAGGGAATTTTAGGTGAGGACACCCCTCAAAAACTCCTAGACACTCTAGTGTATCTGATTGGTTTGAACTGAGCATTAAGAGCTGGGGATGAACAGAAATCTTACTGACCGATACCGAAAATGGGTGTAAAACTGTTAGGTACACAGAGGATGTTTCCAAAACAAACAGAGGAGGAATAAAACACAGGCGCATGGAAAAGAAATCAATAAGCATATCCGTCAACAGAGAGCGACCTGAGAGATGCCTAATTCGTCTCTACCAAAAGTACATGTCACTTCGGTGAGTAATAAATAGTATTACTATCATAATATTACATGTGAATATTTTAGTTTGATTTCAAAATGTTGTTTAAAAATACTTGATTTTGGTCTCGCTCGCTGCTTAGACCTGACTGGTTATCAACGTACGTTAAACCCAATCCCACTCTCACTGATATTTGGTATACACAAGAAGGCATGACATGTGCGACTGTCAGAAATAATTAATTTTATTTTTGTCTTGGTTTATAATATTGGAATTACTGTTACAATGTAGTGGCATTATTGTAAATTGTCATTGAATGGGCAAGATGATATCTATTTCTCTTTTAGGCCTAGAGATGGCAAGTGTTCTGCTTTCTATCTCCGACCACTCAGGTTTGTGAAAGATAACACGTGGTTTGCTGACTGTCCTATTGGTAAACATCCTTTGAGAGGAACAGTCGGGCGAATATGCAAACTTGCTGGGTTTGGAGGATTCTACTCCAACCACTCTCTGAGAGCAACAACAGCTACACGTCTCTATGACGCCGGGGCATAAATCTGTAGCCATTAGGAGTTACAAGGTGTGTTAACAGTTATTCTTTATCATAAACTTGCCCTCAAAAGACGTTTTACATCAGTTTTTTGGGCAAAATATAATGTAACTACTTTAAATATAATTTGTTGGCACAAATGTTCTACATTTCAATTTTTTGGGCCACATCCTTATGCCTATCGATTTATAAACAGCAATTCGTCTGCCTAAGATTATTTTATTCAAACTGTCGCCTAAATTTCAGATTTACAAGAAGGTCCTTAATATAAGATCATGATATGCTTCTGTGAATAATGTTCACGTTTTCCTAAAGCAGAGAACATCATCTGAGATGGAGGCCCGGGTTGATGACATAATACAGAGGAAACGCCCATCTGTCACAGCTGCAGCTACAGCCACATCCACGACATCGTCGCCCACGTTCTCGGTCTCCGCCCCTCCATCCGTCACTGAACCCGCCACTGAACATGCCACTGTAGTCCAAGATGGAACTTCTTCCCCGCGAGATCTTCAACTAGTTTTGAAAGATGGTGTGACTCTGTCTCTTGAATTAAAATATAAAGTTATTTGTGTTCTTATTGATATGTGTTATTTTTCAAAACCACTGTCATAATGTTTGCGTTTAACAACCAACTGAATGAGGAATTGTTGAAAACGGTTAGATGCCATTTTCAACCAACCAAAAGCTGGTTACTTAATGACGCCATGCTGTCTCCATCTACTGTATTTCTGCGATCAGTTTTGGTAACATGAGAACGTTGCATACTATGGAACAGAGACAGCTCGGCATACTATGGAACAGAGACAGCCCGGCTTACTATGAGAGCGCACACATGACTATGGGAGAGTAGACTTTAGTTACAAACTATGGGAACCTTTCCCTTAGTTTGTTTAACTAATAGCTTTTGCAGGCAACGTGAAAATTTACCCTTTTGCGACTAACATCCACATAACTTAGTTTAAATATGGCTTATGTTAAGTAGGGTGACTCATATGTGGAAATATAACAACGTCAAAGCTCGTGAGTTGAAATTCAAGTCACGTAGCTGTTATTGGAGTGATTATTATGACAACATCAGTTGTGTTGTCACGCGTTGGTGTCAAGGTGTACACACAAATGATTCGATTAGATAAAATATGTCTGCAGTCTGGTGGTGTTAGAGTGGTGCCATGTCGACCACTCAACAATGTAAGTTTTATATGCCTGGTTTCTCATTGCCGAAAACGTTTTTTGCTACATCACTGCTGTCAACATTTTGTATCGTACCTGTATCGTGGTCACGGTTTTCACCTCCTTTCATATGAACGTTTTTCTTCGTTCTAAATAAACGCCGACTTTTCCCAAGACGTGTGCAAATAGTATGGGGTGGTATACATGAAATGAAATTAAGCACCACCAACAGCAATATGAACATTGAAAGAGCCATAATCAACATCCCATCGTGTGTGATATTTCTTACACTTACATTTTTGTTGAGACAGTGACTTGATTATATTCAACAATTAAATAAAAATAGAGCATCAAGTGGCCTGTTTTGTAACCGATTGACAAAATGCAATGCTCTTATGTAAGCCAATTTCTGGTGTACCCGCCGTGATATTGCTGGTATATTGCTAAAACTAAACTCACTCACTCACTCACTCACTTATTCAATAAGAAGCTAAGGGAAATGAGCCAGTGTCATACTTTTTATCTGATCCATGCCAACTGTTATTTGAATAGCTTGTATCTGCTCGCACTTCTTCATATTATGGTAAGATGCGAATCAAGAGGAACATACAGTGTTCCTCACCTAACCCTACAGCAAGATTCAGCATCATTATATTTTCAAGACATACAGGCGCTTTCTCTATATAAGAATAGACAAGAGACTGTGCGTAACCTTTTATTTGGCGTATATTGGTAGGAGGTACGGAATGTCATACTTATCTGCTGCTACCGTGCAAGTTTCCAATATGTTTAAAACATAGGTTTTTCAATATGCTCAAAATAGCACTTTGTGAAAAGTGTACTATGTATTGGTTTAATGCCACCAGGCGCTACTGACACAGACAGTTTACGTAGTAGTCGACAATATCAACGAAATATCACGGTTCTGATCTAGAAAACATGTGGTTGACAGCATGAGCTCTGCCGTCAGGGTCCCGTCCATCAATTTCAGATAGTCTCAATATCCCTTTAATAGCACGCGGGCCCCAGGCACGTTTTGTAGACTCTCAATCCTCATTCCAATGGGTGATGTCCTTTCCTGGTCTTTCCGGCCTTATATTAGTGGAATATTCCCAAAACCTGCGTAAACCCAACTCGCTCATTCCACTTTGCGTTGACGTACAGCTGACGGATCAAATAGTCCTGATATCAGGAGACCTTAGTGACACATTTCACCCCTTTTTCCTCCTTAAAATAAACCAGGCTTACTGGCTCCTTTCCGGAATCTGCACGAGTTTCCCCAAGAGCCAACAGTGACACATTGATAACACATCGCCATTCCACAAACTAATGACACTTTTTTCACCTGAAATATTCTAAAGTCCTGCAATCCTCTCTGTATGCTTCTATTCATAGATTGTTGAAGTAGTTGTTGTTACAAGTCCATAAACATGCCAAGTTGTGACGACCTTTTGCAATGACCTTTAATATATAGATGATATTGGATGAATTCGAAGCGTCCTGAACAGTGAACTTGTCTCATTCGTGGGATTATCTCTTCTGGATGTGACAGGCTGGCTGCTTCAGGTTCCTGTGGCTCACGACCACCTTAAACAACGATGCAAACGTTCTTCAAGAATGTGAAATATTATTTCTTAGGAAAAACTCTTTTGCATTTGTCCCTTAAAATGGATGAAGAAAACATGTATACTGCCCTATTGGAGTACCATGTGGTGCGTGAAGATCGAGGTCCTATAACAAGTACTGTTTAAACTTGTCAAGGTTTTAACTTCATGTTTCTTTCAATGTTACGGCGATCATTAGTCTTCCAATATAGCCATCTGATTTCAACCGTATGATTTTAACTTCTTGAATCATTCAATGTGACTCATGGATTTCAACTCTATGAATCATTCAATGCAACTTATG